GGGTGGGGTGGTAAAATGGGGGCATCCAGCGTGTGTAAACTCCCATTGGCTCTGCTCTCTGACTTCTGCTAATGCATTCGAGATTAAGGAGCGCGAGTGTCTGTGTGTGTGTGTGCGTCTACATACGTGTGCCCAGACATGTACGTGTGTTGCGTAAGGACGTAACTGCTGGAGCCCCTCTTGGAAGGCCCCTTCTTCTTCCTCTTTGAGCCAAACCCATTATAGTCTTATAAAGGAGAGAGAAGTAGAGACGTTTGATATGAAGCAAAGGAAATAGATTGGCCTTATTTCCTGCCTGGCTGCTGCGGAGCAGGCACTTGTGTCGCCTAGACGATGCAAGCAATTGACACTCAATTTTGTTTGAAATATCACGCCTCTATCATGCCATTATCAGCTTCCCCTGGTAATCCACAGAGCCGCCCTGTTTGATATCAGTCACAGAGTCGCAGAATCTCTCACTCGATTACCAGGCACCGAGGGGGGAAAAGGGTTGAGAATGAAAGGGAGCAGACAACGATGGAGCAAGAGACAAGGCAAGGCAGGAGTGGGTGAAGGAAATAGAGATGGAAAGATTGCAAGGGGGAAACAGGGAGGCTGAAAAAGTCTCACATTTGTATGATTGCAGTGGTAGCGGAGATTATACCTGCGCAGAGACAAACAAAGGAGCCCGAAAGGCCTGGCGTTGTGGGATGAAGAGAATCCGCCACTCTACAGGGTTGGGACTCTACACAACTGAGAAAGTGGGGCGATCTTGTAAGCATACCCTCTCATCTCAAGAGGGCTGTTGGGTAGGCCGGGATAACCACAGTGCTGGAATCGTTCTTTCTCTTCCCCCAATCTCCTCTGTGGATGTCTGAGCATCATCTGTGCGTTTCTGAGCATCTTCTCTGTGTGTGCCAGCATGTCTATGTTCCATTTCCCGCTGGTACATGCATGAAAGCAGGAAGCCCTCACCCAAACGAAAGGTTGAGAGCCTGGCTTATGAAGCGTGAGCGTTACCTTCCAGTGTTGACGACCTCTGTCACGTGCCGCGTGCGCTGGAACCTTTGGCAGGGCCACTGTTGACATACGCTGAATGTTTTCGGATGCTCTTCAAACAACACAAAACACACCACAGAATAGCTTTCTGTGCACCTGTGCGCGATAATAAGGTGTTTGTCGTGAAGGAGGTAGCAGCCCAATGGCAAGAGAAGAGAGCGGCGTCGCTGACAAATTACATGTGGATCAACCCTTTCCCTCCGTGTGGTGGTGATATTCAAAAACAACAGTGATTGTGAACACACTCCGGGGCAAGAGCGCCAGCCTCAGAGGGGAAAAGGAGGTTAACGACGGGAAATATTAGGGGACCGTCTTGGGAGAGAATGAAAGACCCTTCCTCTCCGAAAAGCTGCTCGAGCTGTGGCAGGTTTGCCGCGTTGCGTTAAGACAATAAGGTGTCTTTCACACAGGTGTGTTGACGCCTGGGGCGGGCTTGGCCTCGGCCCGTTCCATTCGCCCCGGCTGATTTGAACAATAACTATCGTGTCTCTTAAAAGAGAAGGGAGGGCGAAGCGTCAAGAAGAGGAGCTCTGAAAGCTGTGTCGGGGCCAAGAAAAACCCCCGCTGCCGTTGTCAGAGCTTGTTGATGTTGTTTTCGGGAAGGAAAAAAAAAAACGTTCTCTTTTAAACCCATCCCCCCTCTTTCCATAACTCCGACATTTTTCTTCCCCCTCTTCCCCTTTCTCTCCCTCCACTTTTGCACTTGATTCAGTGTTTTGTGCCGTAGGACAGAGTGGGGTAAAGAGACAGAGGAACAAAGTGCTGCTGTGTGGAGCAGCAGCTGCTGCTTGCCGGATCAAAGGGGCAACAAGCGTGGTCTTCCTGGCCCAACGCTGCTCTGGAGGTGTTTGACGGACAGTCAGCAGCTGGGGCCGCACGGCCCGCCATGCAGGGGTCATGCTGCTGGACTGCAGGGCCCAGGGGTGACATGCCCTCACCGGACAGGGGGGAAAGAGTGGAGAAGGTGTTGGATGGGAGGTCAAACAGAGGGAGAGATGTCTATGTTTGTTTCCTTTGTTGTTGGTCCTGCTGTTGCACTGTACAGCGTTACTTTTGGGACTGTTACTGTATAATCCTAGTTTCTTTCTGTTGCCTTGCACCTATGCATCCAACATGGTGCACAGGATGTAGTTGAAACCTGGTTTTAAGGGTAAAACCGTTACCACACTGCAGTATTCCACCTCTTTCGTGCTGGCAGAATATCGGAGCGAGAGCAGAGAGACAGACAGGGAGCGAGCATGCCGCAGTGCTATTGATTTATTTTAATTAGCTGCTCGTTAAATCGTGTCAGTTTGCAACACAAATATATAATTCTTTGTCTGATTTTCCACTCGAAGCCTTAATGACTCGCACTCCCCGGGTTTCAGAGAGAAATGACTTGTGCAGCTAGACTGACGGAGCACTGCAAATGTTACTCATATCGGGGCGGAGGAGGGGGCCGGGGACTTGCCACAAAAGGGCAATGAGTGGAGTAATAAAAAGGGTAAGAAAAACAGGTCAGTGAAAGTCCACGGAATAGAGGTGAAACAGTCCCCCTTTGAGAGGCCGACAAAGGAGTGTGGAGGGGGGGTATGGAGGCACAGTGGACCAGAGAAAGCGGGAGAGAGACAGAGGTAGAACTATGTAAACACAGTGGCTGCCCTAAACGTGGGCCCTCTCTGACGTTCCTGAAAAAAAAAGATCCCGCCTCGCTCCGCTTCACATCTGCACTAAATCAAACACCGGGTGAGGTAATGTTTGCCCGGCTTATGTCTCTTGACTCCTGTTTGTACTTAAAGGAGGAAAAAAAGGATAGAAAAAGGGAAACTGTCTCAGATAGGATGAGCTCGAGGAAGCTTCCCTTTTCCGACCCCATCTCTTTGTCCATGTTCTCCATCCTGGAGGAGGAAACCCATTTGAAAACCCCCTTTGTGAGATTTTATGATAAATCCATACTGTGGGTTCAGTGTGCTGTCAAGATCTGAGCTGATTCAATCGGGGTTGTTGACAGTACAGTAGATCAGTGCTGGAGGTTCAGTAGCCACCGACTGCCCAACTGTCTGACTGGACAATAATGAGTGTTTGCTTATACTAAACACACCCCCGTCATGGGGTTAATTTGCATGGACTTCCTGGTAGTGTTTTTTTTTCGTTTTTCTTTTGAGAGGGAGGGATCAAACCTTTGATTCGAGTAGGTTGTGACTCAGTGGCTGGGGGTTTGGAATCTTTATTTCTGTCTGAAGCAGATGTATGGAAGCAATGAGCTCTAATAGGAACCAGAGGACAGTCGTGTGTTGCAAGCAGTGATCAGCTATCGAGTTCAGCACGTTCTTGTTCAGATTGTGTTGCGTCCAGTCCTCCTGCAAAGACTGACCGCGGGCCTAAAGAATTTGACTGACAAACATAAACTCGCCCCCGTGTTCTTTGCATAGGAGCTCTCAAAATTGGCAGTTGCAGGTCAGCCGTGAAGTGATAAACTGTCAACCATTTCAGCGTCACAATTCTTTCTGCCTCCTTCTTTCACACGTTCGAACCGGCCAACATTGCGAGCAGTCCGGCGGTCTTTTCTTTCGGAGAATACATGTTCAGCTCCTCTCTGCTGTCTCACTCTGGCTCTGGCTCGGTTTCTTTCTTTCATCACAAACTCGTCAAACGAGTGACCCTACTCCTGATTGGCTGGGTTCCCTTCGATCTCCACAGCAATTGGCCAGCCAAGCAGCAAGGCTCTCTATCGCTCTCTTTCTCTCCAGGCTGTGCTCTAGGGTAGGGTGGTTTGCATGCCGATTTCTCGGGGAAGGAATGCTGACAACAGGAGCGAGTTACCAGGTGTGGCTGCAAGTCAGCTAACCGGAAACAAGGCCTTTCTGACGGATTGAGATGAGGAAGCAAGACTAAACACAAGTGTGACAGACCGGTTTTCTGTGATTTCATCTCCAAAACTACCTGCACCTCCAATACTTTACTTTACAACGATGGTGCATTAAAGGGTCATAGAGTGGAAGTAGTAGCCTATGGTATGTTTCAGAATTAGGCAACTTCTTTATTAAGTCTCTTCTCCTTTCTGTGACCAGGCTTACACATTCACACACACACAGTATTTAGCACCTAAGCAGTCACTCTCTGAAAAGTGTTTCCCTCCTGTGTGTGAGGCAGATATTAGTGACTAGGGGTGCCATGTTGATCCAGCCTAGCAGAGACCCTGAGTGGACTCCTGCTGCCTTGGCTCCATCATTCATGTTTACCTGTCCTTTTTCTCTGCAACCTGTAAATCACCACACAGGGCGCTAGTAAACTTTAGAAGTTCTCCTTCTTCCCGTCGACATACCGCATCCGGATGTACACGCGTGTGTTTGCACACACGGCGTCTCTCGTCGCTTTTCAGGTTAGGTCAGCGGGACGGGCTACTGTCGGCCAATTGGAAGCAGATTGTGAGGAATGCGCTAACGGGGACATGAACGCTCCAACGCATTCTTAGCACCGCAAGAGCAGTTCTTGATATGCAACTTGAAAATGTGTCACAGGCTTATTGGCTTGAAGCGACCAGTTGCTTACGTTAAACAGCAGTGTGCCGCTGCCCCCATCAGCCCCCTTTCTCCTGTACACATTCACACACAAGGAATGACCTCCACACGAACCCCTAACCTTGCCTTTAATTATTTGTTTGAAGACAGCATGGAGTTCCCATGCTGAGAGGCTGTGTGTGTAGGTGTGTGTTGGTGTTTCTGTGCACTAACATTGAGCAGAGGCAGGCCATAATAAGCTAGACCACCAGATGTAGATAATAAAACATGGGCTTTTGGTTGGAGGTTTGTAGCCAGTGTCCCCTGTGAGCCTCCTGGTTTCTGGTTAGTCTACAGACACACTGGCAGTGGTTGTGGTCATGTCCATGGTGTTGATGTGTAGATTTACAGCGCGCGCACGTATGTTTTAACGAGTGGTTGGGAATTCTGAGTCCCTGTGGTCAACCTCCGTGTCTCTCTCAGGGCCTGCAGATCGGTCCTTCGGTGCGGCTATCCCAGTTTGACTGGCCTTCATCTCTGGAGGATTCTTGGTTGTGTTGTTTTAAGCACACACCATTAGCAGCTCAGGGGTTGAGGGAAAACAGTGTTATCAGGCCTGGCTCTGATAATCTCAATTGGCTTTACTCCGACTGATAAAAGGTGCTCTAAGGCCACGAGAGGAGCCCTCGGTCACCCCCCACTCCCTCCAATGCGCCGCATCGCCCCTCGCTTTACTATGGCAACTTGTTTAGCGTACCAAACAGAGCATGTGTGTGAGTGTGAGCGTGAGTGTGAGATATGGCGGTGGTCGGCCAACGGGGAATGTTGACGAGAAGCAGGTTTGTCTCAGAAACAGCTTGGAGGGAAAATACTTGAATATCCGTATGTTTGTGTTCAGAGCGGCGAGCCGTATCAATGGTTAATTAATACTATTCCAATGATAGCTAAACCTATTTCCCTGGATGTAAAAAAAAAACTGCTTTTATTACAGCATACTCTCCAGTAGAGTATTTCCTCTGCAGTCACTAGAAACTGTATTGGCAAATTTAGCACCTGGGAAGAACATTCCTGCTATTATGTGTTTATGGTTATGTCCCAGAATAGGTAAGAATGCACATGGTTGTGATTTTGAGAGCCTTGCTGCTTCTATGGGGGGGGGGGCAGGACATACTCTTTGGCATGCCTTGTACTGTGAACTTAAAGAAGGGCGTGTGATACCAGGAGTCTTTGTGTTTACTTGCTCAGCTGGTTTTGAAGCTGGAAGTGTCTTTATCTCTTAAACACTGCAGGTATTTCTGACAGGCCAGCGCTCTAAGAATATTTTACCCTCTTTTTTGTCTTTGGAAACATACGTTCACACTTAATAAACCTTAATCCTCATTCCTCCTTGAAATCGCAAGTCATGCATTACAATCATATAATTTCCAAATTCAACTTTTATTGGCGCAGCGCACCTCCCTACCTCCACTTTTGATCCCTCTCATTCTCATATGGATGCGTTTCATCTTTTTCTCTCTGGGGCCCGCGGCACCCCTGCGTACTGCACTCTGGATGCCCCCTGGCAAATGAGCACCGCGTCTCTCTTCTCCCAACCGTGCATTTTGTACCTTTTAACCATGTCACTTTGAGCCGGGCAGATTACAGACGTTTAAGTTCATTGGAGAAGGTAAGGGCAGGTATCAGGGCTTCATGGGGGATTAGGAGCCCAAATTGGTTCCAGATCTCTCTTCCTTCTAATGACCAGTTCTTTACCGTACTGATGGTGCCGAGCGCCCGTACGTTAGCGAGGGGCGGTGGCCTGTGGGGGCCTTGTTTTTTTTCCTCTCCTGTGCTTCTTTGGAACCAGCAAAGGACTCCATACTGGACAGCTCCAATGTGGTTTGAAACCCCTCTTTAATATCAACCACATGGTGGTACCTGTAGTGCTCAGTCCATGCTGCGTTTCTATCACGTGAAAGTGAATGAGACAGAGACAGTGAGAGAGGAAAAAGAGGGTAGGAGGAGAATAAAGACAGGAAGGTGAAGAACTTGCTCGGCCCGACTTGCCAGCTTGTGTTTTGACACAGCCTAAGGCATCTCCATTCCAAGTTAAAAAGGTTGCCCCTGGCTGGCATTCACCTCTGGATGACCTCCGGGGTCTTCACTGGAAAAGCCACAGGAGCACGGCCGGCTGGGGAAGCTTTGTGGAGCTGCACTTATTCGCTGCTGTGGTGGTGATAAAACTTCAGACAGCCTAATTGATGGGCTCGCTGACATAACAATACCTTGTGAAAGCACGGAGTGGCCTATGCCTGGTCCTCATTTCTAGACAGCTGGAAGGGAGCAGAACCCCCTACAATGAAGCCAGAGTGGGGGTCCCACAGAGGCAAAGGGGGTAGGTGGGGGTGGAATGGTGGGGAGTAATGAAAGGAACCATTTGTATCCTGCACTTTGCTAACTTGGAGCTTACTTTGAAATTCCAATGGGTGGTAACAATCTGGAGACAACGTTGTTTCGGAGAATGGACCGCAGACAGAACACCATACTGTCGCTATGTGGAAGTGGCTGCGGGAGGAGACAGCAGGAGAGAGGGATGTGCCACAATGAGGGTTCTTCTGTGCCCAGGCTGCACTTAATACTTGAGGAATGTGTCCCTGGTGCCCATAGCAACCAAACGTAATCAAAAGCTTTATTAAAAGAAGGGGGAATAGATCATAAGGAACGTTAAAAGTATCCCTCGCTGGGTTCCCAAGTCGGCACACAATTGCCCTTTTGTTTGTTGCTGTTTTGTTGTGAGCGCCTCCTTCAAGGACTCTGTGGCTAATGTTGCCATTAAGTCATGCAAAACTGTTTTGTCTTTGTGGAGGCTTGTGATGAATCTCTCTGTGTGTGAATGCGGGCTGATTTAACGTTTGTTTTTCTCCTCTGTTTTTTCTTCTTCTTCTTCTCTTCTCTCTGCCAGGTTCATTAACGCCAGGAGAAGAATAGTACAGCCCATGATTGACCAGTCAAATCGAGCAGGTAAAAAAAAAAAAGGAACAACCCAGTTGACGTACAGCAGCTGAGTGCTGCTTCTCTCTCTTTCTCCCCCCCCCCCCCCGCATGTAGACACCCTTTCTAAATCCTTTGCTGGCAAGCATTTCATGCCTGGAGCCCAGCTTTTTTTTTTTGAAAGGGGCATCCTCCACCCCCACCCCAAAAAGAATCTCTCCTACTACTCCCTCACTGTCATCTCCCCCCTTTTCCATTTTCTGTATGAAATGGGTAAAGCTGTGGGTGCACGCCGTTTGCTGATTGAATCTAATTGGAGATTTCCCAGTCTAAGTGCAGCGAGAGGTATATTAGCACCCTCCCTGTGAGTTACTAATTGGACACAAGAGCAGTGCCAGAAATGCTAGCAGCAATTTATGAGTTATCTCCTCTTTAAGGCTGTTTTGTTTTTTGGCTTTTTTTTTTTTTTTTTTTCAAGGGTTAAGAGGGATTCCCCCTTACTTTTTTTCTGCCGCGTTTTTATTTTATTCCCTCAAGAATCACTGTTCTGAATTTTAATATCAAGTCGTTTCAAATATCAAGCCCGCTAGAAAGCTGCGTAGCTTTTTTTTTTAGCATAACACTATCAGTTAATGTATTTCCAGTCGTGAAAACTGCCCTTAGGAGGAAGAGTTAAATACTCTGCCTTGATTAAATCAGATGTGATGTTTTGACTTAACGCCGACGCATGAAGAGATTCTCCTTTCTTAAAATAGATTACGAAAAGCCTCCTATTGCTAATTGATTACACATCTACTTCCCACATCAATTGTAGTCAGATTACAAAAAGCACCGACTGAGTAGTAAACACGCCACCATGTGATCCCGTGGAATGATTCAGCCAGCCTAAGCTTCATTGACTTTGGCATTACCAGAAAGAACCCAAGTAATTTGTCTCGGGGAGGGAAAAGCTGTTATTGTTGATTACCCAGCTCCCCGACTTAAAAACGGTCCCCACACACCGGGGTGGAGATTGTTCAAAATGAACATGAGCCGTGATTAAAATGAGATGCACTTACAGATGTGGGTGACTCCTTCTGCAATTATAGCCCTCTTGAGTGGAATATTTGTTAGCACGCAAGCGATGTAAGCTAATCAACACTCTACAAAAACAGCATGACTAACAGCTCCCCATAATCTTCACGAATTACTGATTATCCAAGATTATACCGCTATGGTCCTAGAATACATCATTTTAGGCATTTTATCAGTTCACCTGAGCTAATATTAGGCACAATAAGATAAAACTGAGAAAATTGATTGCTACTGATTCTTCAGTATTTTAACAGATAATGAGGTGAATCATTCCGAATATTCAATAATGTTCAATTAGAGTTCTATGTTTCGTTGAGGAGTAGATGACTATTGACTTGACTGGGTGATCTGCCCCATGGCAGACATTCCTCTCATCCTGTCAAACCGCATGCCTTCTTCTTAGAGAACAATGGGAATGTGGTTTTGAATGACGTGTGTGGGTGTGGGTGTTTTGTGTGTGTGTGTGTGTGTGTGTGTGTGTGTGTGATTGAATGAGGGTGCTTGCATGCATTGGGACCTACTGTATGCGTGTTTGCATGCCACGCGTCAGTCAATGCGGTTCACAAACATGAGCACAATGTCTTTCAGTATGTTTGGGCCTGAGCTGGGACAATTGCTGATTGTCTGGTGTGTTTTCTCTTCTTCTTCTTCTTCTTCTCCCCCCCCTCCCTTTTTCATGTCCACGTTTTGACTACAATCAGGTTTTCTTCTTGATCCTTCAGTGAGCCAAGGAGCAGCATACAGTCCAGAGGGCCAGCCAATGGGCAGCTTCGTTCTGGACGGTCAGCAACACATGGGGATCCGACCAGCCGGTAAGTCGGTCCACCCGTCTCCCTGCATCCGTATTCCCTCGTGTCTTTTTACCAGACACCCGTTTCACCCTCACTTACTGCACAGCTGATCAACTCTGATCATCTTGTCTAAAGCATGAGATTAAGTCAACTGATAATAAACCTGATACTAACAACTGCTACACAACCACAATAACACTTCTCACTGTTCCCCAGACTGTCGACTGTCTGTCTTGCTTGTTTTTTTCTCTCTGATTAAACACCTTTCAAATGATCATAACACCCGGGGTTGTGGGATGAGCAAACACCTCCCTGATAACTCCTCCATCCACCCTTCAGCACTCATCCACCCTATCAGTAGTTCTCCTCTAAACTCTGATTCAGACTTCTTCTGACCCTTTTCTGGCGTGTATCTTCTCTTTCTAGGGCCTATGAGTGGAATGGGGATGAATATGGGCATGGATGGGCAGTGGCACTACATGTAACCTCCATCTTGTAAAGCAAAACGCAAAGAAAAAAAGGGGGAAGTAAGTACTGGGATCTTTTCCTTCTTTTTTTTTTTTTTTTTACACTGTCGGGCTGTGGATTTTATGTTTTTCTTTCACATCACTAGCGCTGGCCCTTCTTATCCTGGCCATCATTTTGCAGAGAGCTTCGAGCCTCTAATCCCTAGCACCAATAACTATGAACCAGGATGCTTGGCTGTTTTACTCAGATGCTTTTAAGGGGAAGGGGGGGGGTTGCATGGCGGTAGCCTAAGGATGAATTTAGGACTTGGGAAAAAGAGGGGAACCGTCCTGGGACCGAGAGGACCCGTCGACTTGTGGCGCCAGACAACAGGAGCAACAACAAGAAGAAGGAGGGGGAAGAAACAACCTGGCACGGCACGCACAAATTTATTCATCACAACAGCACCATCGCTCTCCCCATCCCGGACAGCCAATGCAAATGTTGGACATTCAGGGAAAAAATAACATCTCCTGGGGAAGGGGCTGACGGGGAGAAATTAAGCAGGCTCCAGTGAAGCGATAAAGAAGGAGAAGTGAAACTGTCCTCAGAGTGACATAAATCTGTCTGGGGAAGGATTGATGCCCAAATTATCTTATATGCAAAGACGGGAACACCGCAGTACATTACGGTCCCCGGGCGAGATATACGGGCCCTGGGTGACATGGCCGATCCTTCACTGGGGGTTTGGTTTGAGCTGTGTAAAGGGAGGAATGAGTCTGTGTGTTTTGATTATTTTTTACTGGAGGGAGACGATTTAAGGGGGGGGCAGGGACAAGCCTGACCCGGGTCCCACAGACAAGAGCAGGGAGACATTGAGATAAATTTATAAGGTTGAGGACACAAGCATGACTGCATCTAAAAGGGAAAGGAATCTCTTTCACACATACAGATGCCGTCTCTCTGTATCGCTGTAATTCCGATTCTCCGTCTCACACACACACACACACACACACCAATCCCGTTTCAGTTAAATGGCGGCAGTCTGATTAAGCTGGCCATTTCCCCTCCTGCTTGTGCCACAGTGCTGACATTTGAAAAATCAAGACATATCCCATCCAAAAGGCGGCAGTGCAGAAGAGATTTTATTTTAACACCTACACTCCCTTGCCCAATGAGGCACAATATAATAACACTTACCTTGATTAAAAGAACCCTTTATATGTAAATGGTGACTGAATTTTCCAAAGGGTCACAGCGGCAATTCTGCCGACAGAGATCATTTCACACCTCTTGTCCTTGCTCCATCTCTCTCTCTCTCTCTCTCTCTCTGTCTTTCTCTCCGTCTCTCGCTCGTTTTCTCTCATCCCTTCCTGTCTTTGCTAATGGCGGCAGAGAAGAAAAAAAACTCAGGAGGCAATGTTCCCTAAAACAGCCACACAGAGACAACATTTGCTCAGGTTGGCTAATTCTTAATACACGGCTATATCATTTTTAGACTATTTAATTACGTAACATACTTTATGCTTCATGACCAATTACATTAATAGCCTAATACAGAGGAATATTATCCTCTCTTGATTTGATTACACAGCCACACAATATGGTATATTTGGTACTTAATTATGGCCAGTCATTGAGCAGGACCGCTGTGCCATAACAGAAGTGCACAGCCAGCCGGGGAGGCATGCATGCAGAGATGGAGTGAGAGAGAGAAAGAGGTGGGGGGGGGGGGGCCCAGTCTGTCCTCAGTTATTGTCTTCAGATGGTTTTACCACTCTTGTTAATAAAGGAGGGGGTCTCAGATCTACTTAACAGAATGAATACAGCTTACAAGACTGGAGATTACCAGCTTACAGTGTCAAAAAACATCTGCTGGGCCTTTTAACAGGAGCTGCTGTAGGTTATATGGAGGTGAGGGCACCCATCATACCACAACACCCTCAATGATTTATTTATTTTATGACCCCGGTAGTGAGGTTTTAAGAGACCTGCTCTGACAAACATGTGCATTTCAAATGAACTGACACGAAAAAAAGGGAGTATTAGAAAATAGCACAGCTTTCAAGCAATGAGTCTGCTCATTAATCATGGCTTCTGCTGTCCCTTTTTTTCCCCCTTTCTGTCCTCGTCCTCCTGTTCCCCTCACCGGGGCCCTCCAGTGTAATTTCTTAATTGCAGTGTACTAAGGTGGAGGAATGCAGAAAATGAGCATGCCTAGTGACCTTGCAGCGACCTCTTCCCTCCTATTACAGCTTCTAATCCTCCAGGGGTTCACATTACAAAGCAGTTCGGCCCCAGACCCAATCGCAGACCCAGGGCCCCCCCTTGGCTCCAGCAGGACCCCCTGCTCTCACTTGCCTCTCCCCAAGGTCCAGGCCTTTAGACCAGCCGTGTTCCCATACTACAGTCCCAGGCTCCGGGAGAAACCTCCCCCCCTCCCGCCTCTTACTTTTTTTTCTTTTTGATTTCAACAAACAGTGAAAAAAAAAAGAAGACAAACAGTGGCACTGCTGAGCCAGCTCTGTGTCCTGGGTCCTGTCACAGTATGAGAGATGCCAGCATGCTGAGGTCTCCACACATAGGAAGCGAAGTACATCTTAGGGGACGTCATTATAAGACCCCTGCATTTCCTTTCTTTTCTCTTCCATCTCGCTTTTATCTTTGCTGCTCCTTTTCTACTTGCAAAGCTCATACTCCATGCATTTAAGAGCAGACCTTTGTCTTTGCTTAAAATGCAAAAGTCTTTATTCCTCCTGCCTTGTTGATACAGCTAACCGAGTCCTAAATAGTTGAATAACTTTTTAAAGGCCTTTTAAATCAACTATGTTCACAGAGGCTCGTCCCCATGAGAGAACGCCTGTTTGGTTTGTCTCTTGAGTTGGCTTGGGAATTGACAGTTCCACTTATGGGATATAGAACAGTATTAGCACGTCTCCGCATCAATACGGCTGGTTGGTTTTCCTCACATCTTCCTGGACTGCAGTGTCTGCGGATGACGGAGGATCATTTTCCAACCTGAGGCCTGACCACAGCACCATCGGGCATTGTAAACCACTCACTATAGCCCGAAATAACCCAGCGCAATAATGTCTCTCTTTATTTGTCAAAGCTAAAAACTCTGCAGTCACAGACGCAGTGTCATAAAATCCGCTGAGTCCTTTTGCCGTTGAGGTTACGGGTTTAAATTGAGTTAGGCCCCGTTAATGGAGAAGGAACATGTCCTGGTTGTATTGAGTGTGTAAATTAATTACACTCTTACTTTCTGTCTCCCTCGCAGGTCTGCCAGGCATGCCAGGGGAGTACGTACCTCAGAGCGGTCCAATGGGCATGAGCATGGCCGCACCAACTTACGCCAACCCTCATCAGATGACCCCTCACCTTTCCCAGCTCCGACGCGGACCACATCTCCATGCATACCTGCCTGACCACGCCCACCACCCTCATCACCATCCCCACCACGCCATGCTGATGCATGGAGGACCCTCATCGCATCCAGGAATGACCATGTCTGCACAGAGACCCCCTTTGCTCACCCCCATTGACCCCAGTGCTGGAGGACAAGGCCTGGACATCCATGCCCAATAGTATAAGGAAACGTTGCTACCATGACAACAGCAGCTACTACAAGAAAAACTTTTTTTTTAAAGCAGCAGGCCACAGTAGATCCTATTTGGAGACTATTTTTAAGAATAAAAAGCAAATCCTTGTGACCAGAATTTGACACTAAAGAAACAGAATTCCAGATCAGCTGTGATGATACTTTTTTTTTTTTTTTTTTTTTTTTTAGACTTGTCAATTTTGTTACTTTCATCCAAAACGGAGGACCAAGCTGACAAGAACACTTTGTAAAGTCTTGGGCTTTTGGTAAAGATCAAGAGAAGATGTTTTGACGTACACGTGTGCAAAGAATGGACGGATGCACACACTCAAAAACACACACTTTTCGCACACTTACTCACACACCATCATAAACATGTTCAGTACACTTTCATGTGACGCGCTCAAACGCTTCTAAAATAAAATCACTCTGGAAGATTTAAAAAAAAACAACAACAGAAGGACTCCAAGAGTTATAACTACTGTAGTATAAAAAGTATAGATAAATAAGTTAAAACTTGTGCATTTTTCGTTGATCACATGGTTTATGTTTCCTGAGCTAGTTTTAGAATTAAAGGTTAACCTTTTCTCTCTCACACTGTGTGTGCTCCTTCCTGGAGGAGAAACTGTCTCGCAGCACCGCACTATAAAGGAAAAAGAAACAACAAGAAGATGAAACATCTCAAACCACAGAGGGCAATCAGGTCCTGTCCCCCATAAGAACAGGGCATGATTGGAGAAGGCTGCTAAATGACACCGGATCTCTCCAGAAGATTCAGTTTGAACATTTGTCATGCCCCTCTTTTTTTTGGTTCATGAATGAATGTTGCCCTGTCGGTTTTAAAGGAAAAAAAAAGAAAAAGTTCTTCATTTGAATTGCCCAAGCACTGGATTGTGTTGGTTTTATACATTTTTATTTTAATATTGTTTTATTTTTTTTGTACCCTGGACTCTCATTGGTAAGAGCCTCTTGAAGGAAGCTTAATAGTGGAAAAGCAACATCCTACGGCGCTTCTTCATCTGCGGATCAACATTCTTGCCATAAGGACAATACTGACACAGACGTTGATTCGGCGGCACTGGAGAAGCATTTGATGGTTGATGCACCAAAAAACCTGAAACTTAAAAAAAAAGGAGAAAAAAAAAAACTTAAATTATGAACTCAATGCTTTTTGGGGTGTGGGTGGGTTTGGGGGGAGGGGGGGTGGAGCTGAGAGAATATTGTAACAAACTTCGTACAGAGTTCAGTCTATTAATTGTTTCATGTTAGATATTCTATGTGTTTACCTCAATTGAAAAAGAATGTTTTTGCTAGTTTCAGATCTGCTGTGGCATTGATATTGTATGTCCATGAATTCCTTCCTTTTTCAGCACGTGTTCCTCACTAGATGATAAGATGCCGTCTCCCTTAAGCTTTGTCAAAAATACATTAAATACTTGTATGAGGACTGTGACGTAATGTTTAAAAGGTGTTCAGTCACAAATGCTGTAATAAATATTTCATTTTTGATTTTTGTTAGATTTCTTTGTGACTAACTGTGTTATAAACAGGGTTTTTATTCACATAATAGTGATCATACTAATTGGTTAACCATTATTATTACTAATATAAGTAATTGTATTATTATTATTGTTCACAGAACGTGTTCTGGATGCGTTGTTGTTTGTCAACAAGGCCTCAAGCTTTAGTTTTGTAAATAGTCAGAAAAACAGTTGAGCTTTTTTTCAGAAATCTATTTGCAGTAGCTTGTTTTAACCAGACTGCATATTTAGTTAATAAATTCCCTCTGGTAATATGAATAACACATTATTGTTTAAATATATCTTACAGGGCTATTTAGGCACTAAAATATGTCCTCCAAATGATAATCAACTACAAATGAATTATTACTTGAATTAAAGCAAAAGGTTTTAGACTAAAGGATACACTGTCATTGATGGGGTGGTAAATTAAATAAAAAGCTCAACAACGGTTGAGCCTCCGTCCCCATCGTGTATGGGGATAAAACTGGCATGATAAACTAAAATAAATGACTTTTCCCAAAGAGCATTATTTAATACTTAATTTTCTTGAAGAAAAATCGGTATATGCTAAGAAATTCAAATTAACAAAACGCATGCAATACAATATTTATTAACATAGTATTATTGATCGTGTAAAAAGATAGGGTTGATCTTCATTTTGAACTTAAAAAACAAGGGAATTTGGTTTAGGTGTTTTCACTGTTAACACTCTCCCTGGTGTCCAAACAATAGAGCGTCGATTTGTCCCTGGTGCAATTATTCTGTGAGTGAGAATAATGTTTGGCCCTCTCGCAGTGTGCTCTGCTCCTTTCTGCCGTTTTGCAGCGCCTCCTGTCGGCCTAATGTGGCAGCGCCGTCACGGGGTGCACAGATGGGCTTTGATGGGCTATCTCTTCCCTCTTCTCCATCTCTTTGCCTGTTTGCCCGCGGCCATCCAAGTCATAGCCTAAAACCTAAAAATGACATCATCACTTGGGCTCAAACGTGTTCTGTCCTTCACACAGAACTTTAAACCTCATCTCTCGGAATCAAGGAGTCAAATATTTCTTTTTTTCATTTCTTTTTTTTTTTAGGCCTGCCATAATGCTTATCTCATGTCTTGTGTGTGTACAAACAGATGGCACAACCTATAATAATTATACTAATAATAATATAATTAATATAAAGAATGCATTTTTAAAATGAGCTATTAAGTGTACTTACACGTCTGAATTGCGTTTATACTTATATACTGATTTTCATGTGGCCTTCTGAAAGTAGATTTTTTTCTCCTCGTACAATTTGTTATAAAATCTGATCGTTTATTTAGCTTTTTTAAAATAATGTGGAATTAATCCAACCCATCCTAAATAACGATAAATATATGTTTAACCAGAACATAAAGGCCTGTTTGAGTAATTATATCATTGTTCCTGTCTAAAAACAATTGATGAAAAGCACAATAACTTTGTGATCTAAATAGTTACAGTACCATAGAAAGCCATTAAAACCGTTAAAGTAAAATCAGTGTATTTTATGTTTATTTAGAAATATCTGTTTAGTCAAGTCACAGTCAGCTTACACAGTTCCTTTACGTTATATTTAGCATCTGGTTTGAATGTTACCCGCGAGTCGTTTTCTTAAAATTCCAGTTTATAATACTTGCATATTTAATGTTAGTTAAACAATTTCTCTGCACACGTGGATGCGCACACACGGCGAGATGTTCAGGCCTTAATCAGATTGGGGTAAAAAAAAAAGTGTATTTATTGGTTTCACACCAGTCTAGTTAACGATGCATCTTCTTCTCTCAACCATTCAAACCTTAAACGTCCTTTTTTTTGTTTTTCTGGCGCTCTATTATTCTTTGGATAAAACGGAAGGAAGAAGCCCTCCGTTTTGTGCGGAGATTATCGGATGAAAAAGAGAGAAAACGTGAGGATTACTGTGGATGGAGAGGATTTTAATATTAATAGTTTTTTTTTTCTTCTTTCTTTTCTCCCCCCACCCCCATCTCCTCCTCCAGTCCCCCCCCTCTCCCCCGATGAGACAGAAGGTAGATTGCCTCTGCTGCTTTCCTTTTGCCGATTCGGTGTGACAGGGATGATGGATGATCCAGCCGAGCTAAACAACTCCTCCCCTTCATCTCCTCCCTGTCAAAGCCAGTCCGGGCTGCTGCTGCTGCTTCTGCTGCTGCACGAATCAAATAAGGAATATATTCCCTCTGCACTGCTGCACAATGCAGCCTGGTCCTCGGGAAGACGCCCGTGCAACAATATTAAAAGTCCACACACAGTTTGCTCGCGAGAAACACTTTGCGCGCGTGTTAATGTTAATACTCCTTCTGTTATATGGTAAGACACAACACAAATCGGGTATTTTTTTTAGATACACAAATGCATTAGCTGCAGATTTTGGAGGAAAAAAAAGAAGTTTTGTGTCTGCTTTGCTTTTCTTTCAAACTGCTGAATTGGATGGTGGTCATAAAAAAAAGGACGTGCACGAGGGGCTGAGTGTCCTTCGCTTTGCAGCTGGCTCTTCCCGAAATGACTTGCTCAGGGGGACAGTTTTTAGGTTTTGTGTATATAGACGCACAATCGTTGTGTGCGTGTGCGCGCGCTGCCCTCCTTTAAAAAAAAACATTTCAGCAGTTTTTTCTCCTCCTGCCATAAGGTGTTTCTATGGCTACGTTATGTAGGCCTGTGAGAGCGGGTCAGAGGCGGAGGTCCCTGGGAGAAAAGGGCCGCATTTGGGTGATCATTTATCAATGTCAACCGCATAATGATTCTCCCTGCAGTCCCCCTATTGATGAGGATAATTACATTAGCTCAGAGTGACTGATCAATAAAGCCCGGGGAAAATGGTTTATTATAGCACCACCGAAAGGGCTTTCTTTAAAAGGGGACTGGCTGCATTTTTTTTCTCTTTTTTCCCCTTCTTTTCTCTTTTTTTCTTCTTTAGAAAATAAAAGGCAGAGTTCATCTGCGCACTCCAAACTCTGGAATGATAATCGAGTGAAATGCAAAACTCCGTCTTCACGCAGGTTTTATGACTGCATTTTTTTCCTTTTTCAGGATTGTGTTACGTTTCCTTTATTTTTCATCTCTGGACTTGTGTCATTTTTTTCTTTTCTTGGGATGACACACAGAAATGTTAATAACATCCGTCTTTATCAAAGAGATATAGTGCAGCTTTGCATCCCGCTGGTGAAGTCAAACGGACATGTACATTCACGCTGTGAGGGATTTTTATGATTGAGTCAAACAGGAAGTCACACAGGACCGAAAGGCCAACCACCTTTTTGTCCGCTGAGGTGTGATTTCACAAACATTTATTATTTGTGAAAGGCAAAAAAAGGAGTTCAAATGGCTGCAACACCAGACTGCTGGCCTTCAACAAACAGCGTAACATTTAGAATAAATAAAAAGTCTTTATTTGCTGGTCAAGTAACACAAATAGGATACTCCACTGGAATAAACCAAATGGTCCCAAAAGCAGACAGTAAATGCATGTTTGACCTCTCTCTCTCTCTCTCACCCTCTATCTATATAACTCCCCCCCTCTATCCGCGTGTGTTTGTGTTCCTTAATTGTCAACAACTGCATCAATGTGGCAAACTCTTTTGCCTTAACTCCCATTTGCCGCTGCTGACCGTGTCTGCGGGAGACAGCTCCACTATATTTATCATTTATGAAGGTATTTTCTCAGACATTGGAGGAAGAAACGACCTGCAGATAGTCCCACTGCTGGCTCTCCATTGCCCTTTCACAAACGCGCACTTCCTTATTTATTCGATGGCCTTTTCATAAATACAGAATTAGGATTGTATCTTAAAAACTGAAGCCTTGACATATCAGAACAGTATATAAGTATACAGGATAAGCAATCGGATTGAAACTATTTCAATTGTTGTATTAAAAAAAAATAATAATAATAAAAAAAGTTATATACTGTATAGAGCTCTTGAAGAATACAAATGATGAAATAGTGTAAACGCCCATGATTAATCTCTATGTCACACCGAATTGATCAAATTAAAGTGTGGTTTTAGCGGAAATATTGAGGATAAATCTCTTGGATGGATGATATCAGGACTTTTTTTGCGCATGGCCGCGACTACTTGAATTAGAGGCAATTTACTTCACACTTCAGCGGCTTGTCTTCTTAAAAATGAGTGGCAATCACCCCTTCAGCCCCCCCCCCCCCCCCCCCCCCCCTTTTCACTCCCCAAAAAATTCACCTAGGAAAAAAAAAAATCTAAAAAGACAAAAAAAAAAAATAGTCAAACAATGTTGCTATAGGGGTTTGTAAGGAGCAGGGATTTAAAATTGCACTTGGCCTGTTGCGGAGAAGCGTAAAAGAGGGCATGTGAGTGCAGAATAAATAAAGCGCAATAAAAAGGGAAATAGCCAGAGTTTAGTCAAGCCTTGAGGTACTCAAACCTTTATTTCAATCAGTTAAGATTTAATTAGACGAGCCTCGGGCCCGGCCGTCTCCTCCCCCCCCCCCCCCATTATGTTGCCTTCTCCAGCGTTGTGTTACAATGCCCCAAAGGTTGTCAACATTTCACTGGTTTTTCCAGTGAAATAATCACGCTTTATGGCCATAAGATCCGCAAATAAATCTGGCATTGTTCCATTAGGAGGCGGGAATCCCGAACAGTGATCGGCGGGAGGAAAAAAAGATACGTTTCTTTAATTTATGGGTTGTTTCCCTAAATTAATATTTTATTCCTAATTTCATCGGTTGTTTGGGGAGCTTTAAAAAAAAAGAAAAAGTTAGAGTTAGAGTATCCTGCGGGAAGCCGCGGGCAGCAAAGTGAGACATTTCACAAGAACTGAACATAACAGAGGAGAGCTGGGAGAAACAGGGAGTGAGACAAAAAGACACGGCGGGAGAATGAAGAGCTTCTCCTAAAATATGAAATTCTTCCTGCCTATTTACCAACACGCACACATCTACGGGCGCGGTTTGAAACCAAATAACTCCGATATTAAAGGTGGTCGTTGAT